GGGGCCGGTGTTGGCACAGTGGTTAACCAGAAAAATTAAAAGTGGCACGTCATGCCGAAATGGTTGCTGACCCCTGGTCTAGCCAGCTTGAAACGCAGTGGAAACACCAGTATGATGAGGATCGTTTTCATTTTAAAACATAAAGGCACCAGTGTAAATGTAACCTTACATCTATGGGGGCTGGGACTCATTCGCACTACAGCCTCACGTGTGCGCCACATCTCTGAGTGTAACCGGTGTAAGCTAGTAGGTGTGTTCGACTTGACGCGGACTGACTGTGCAGTGCAGACCGATCGGTGTATTACAGTACCACGAGAGCTAAAGAGAGCAGACTGCTCCGTGCGCTTTCGAATCGCTCTCGCGGATGATCGATCTGCGCCGCGCCTCTAGTTTGAACACACCAGCTAATGCTGCAGGCTTATTGGCTCACTGACGCTGATGAGATTAACCCCTTAGGTATCGAAATTTAGTACCGAACGACGAGACGTTTTTCGATACTCGATGGTATCGAGGCAATTCGGTCGGTGCCTAAAAAGTATCGAACTCGATACCCAGCCCTAGCTTTGACACAGTCAGTATTGTATAAACCGCTATACAAATAAAGGTGATCTGACTTGACTATTATATACACACAAATTAACTGGTGTGGCTGTAACAATGGCAAATGTGAGCCAGAAGACTCAAATAAGAGGTTGAAATCAGATTGATTAACCTATGATGAAGCATTCCTGTTAATTTTTGTTCAAATTTGATGTTATGTATAACAATGTCTTTCTCGGTGTTCAGGATTGAATGTAGTCAAATTAATGCAAAAGCCAACATTAAAAAAAGAAAAATCAAACCTTTACAAAAATATGTCTTTGAGAATGTCTAAATATAAATTTAAATGTATACTTTTACTCCGATACATTTCCCTGAAGCATATTGTAACCAGTAGTGCTTATAGTGTGCAATAGATACTTTAGTTCCTCTGTGTATCAATATGAATTACAGAATACACAGTAACAGGCCAGATCACCAGTTTCGCTACAGAGGGCAGAAATAAGGTAAAACACTTTAACACAAGGCCCAGACAGACCAGGAAAATGACTTTTACCAAAATGTTTGGTTTTACTTTTTTCGGAGAAGTTGAAATGAATGAAATCACGAAATGAAATCGCAAAATAATAAAATAAAATAACAAGCAATGACTTTGTCTCTTTCTTTACCTTCTGAGCTCCTTTGTAGTTACTTTTCTTAGCTATAATCTATTTATATTATATTTGTTCACTTTAAT